AAGGAAGGAAGGAAGGAAGGAAGGAAGGAAGGAAAAAAGAGAAAGAAAGAAAGAAAGAAAGAAAGAAAGAAAGAAAGAAAGAAAGAAAGAAAGAGGAAGGAAGGTGGAAGGCAGGCAGGCAGGCAGGGAGAAGGAAGGGAGAAGGGAGAAAGGAAGGAAGGAAGGAAGGAAGGAAGGAAGGAAGGAAGGAAGGAAGGAAGGAAGGAAGGAATGTCCTTCCTTCTTTTTTTCTCCCTTCTTTCTCCCTCCCTCCTTCCTTCTTTCCTTCCTTCCTTCCTCCTTTCCTTCAACCCCCACGATGCTGTTTACTATTTTGCAAACTAATATTTAGAATTGCTTGCGGCCACATGTGAGACTAAGGTATCACGTGCCTTGTTTATTTCTGTTTCAGGCAACATCTGAATGAAGCCAATTGTAGTTCAGTGCAAACAGGGTCCCAGGTCAGGAGCTGAACTTGCAAAGCTCCCACCTGGCCCTTCGTATTCATTTCACTAAGTTTTTTGAGAGGGTGCGGGGTGCGAGTGACATTCGGGGAGCAAAAATGAAGTCTTACTCTACATTTCCACAAAACTACCTTGAGCGCCACAATCCGCCAATCGTCCTTGGATTGCACAGACCCTTTTCTATCTTCTTCTTTCTGAGCTGCCATCAATTTCTTCCTCCTCTGAATCTTTCATCTGATCTTATAGAAACTTTTAGCATTCAGTTTTTATTTATTTATTTATTTTAGTAACCGGGAGCCCGCAGAGAAAACATCTGTTTGGACTACCCAAATGTTAACGAAGCACATCTATTAACCAACTTCCCGGATTTAAGGGAGGAAAAATGTATATTTTTAACTGTGAAAATGAACTCAAAATAAAATCCTTCCCATGGTTTGCCGCCTCGGCATTGGAACAGTGGACGCTGGCAATTTTCAACCTTGAGGCGTTTTGCGTAAAAATGAAACATTTGAATTGCGGGTTTTCCTAGAGGTTATCAAAAGAGGGAGAATTGTTAGGATGTGCTAACCGCTCTTGAAGCTACGTTATTCACTCAGCTTCCTCCTTCAAACAGTGAGGAAGGAGTCAGCCGAGAATTGCAACTCAACTCTCAGCCTCAAATTCAGGAAAATGCTGATGGCTTTTGCGGGGTTTGTGGGTTACGGGCGGGATTTAAACGCAAGATAGAAGGGGCCAAGGAAAGAAAGATTGGGAGGAATCGCCCAAAGCTCACAATTTGCAACCAGTGCTTCACTTAACAACTGTGGCAAACCAGGCACAACTTGCTTAATAACCGCCTTGCTTAGCAATAGAAATTCTGGCCAAAATTGTGATCGTAAGTCGGGGACTAGCTGCGCTCTAAAATGTAGTTCTGGCCTTTAATACCGTTGTGTCCCTAATTGCAGTGCAGCAGAAATGAAGTAACTGCGTTTATGAAGATTTAACTTCGACGGACACAAAATTCAACAGGTTTTTATAGGGTTAGAGAGAGCTCACTTCAGCAAAACGTTAAAGGCGAATTCTACAGGTAGTGTCATGCCCCTGTTGGAGTCTGAGTCAGAGGGAGAGGAGGAACAGCTGACAGGGAGTAGGAGTGTGGCTTAGGAGGTTGTGGAGGAAACTGGGGAAGGGCACAGGCCGGCTGGGCATTCAGAGGAGGACCCAGGCCCATCCCCTCTTCCTCCTAGGGCACACAGGGAGGAGCGGATAAAGGAGAAACGTGAGTGGCATGGCCTATGGGGGGGGGAAAGGGCCCTGATCCCCTTCATGGGCTGCAGCTGTGAGGACTGTTTAAAAGGACAAACTGCACATGGACAAACACACACACACACACACACACACACACACACACATATAACCACTCTTTTAGGCAAAATGACAGCTACTTATGGGAATTACAAGAACAGAGTCCGCTAACTCAGCTAAACAAAGAGAATGACACTTAGCCAATGGCCTTTTAAAGAAAAAGTTTAAATTTCTCTTCCTGCACAGCATTTAGTGAAGAATAGAAACTAGCCACCAAAAAGTTAAGCACAGGCAGAAAGCCCCAAAGTAATACACGTACTTCTGTTGCACGGCTTTTGAGTGCGTCAGCAGGTTCTGGAGGCGCCGGATCTGAAAAGGGAAGAGATTATCTACCAACCTAGCAAGGACCACCGAAGAGGATGCCATTTCATAAATATGCAAAACTGGTAGCTCTTTCTCTTAACTAACGAGTTTCATTCAAAGGCAAAATCCTTCTGGGTTTGGGCTATGGCAGGTGATCCCGAGCAAAGGTGGTTCTCTATTTGCAAAAAAATGCACCAGAGGAACCAACAGGAGTGACAAGAGAAAAGACAGAAGAAAATATTTTGGGTGATCAATAGATGGTCTCGCATGATCCAAAAGATGTAACGACTACAAGGGTTCCTAACAGTTGTAAAAAGGTTTTGTTTATTCCTAGAGATCTGTGGGTTGTGCCTTCCTGGGAATAATCTCTTACTTTTGCAGAATCTGGTTGGTCAAATTAGGATCTGGAGAATACCTTTGTGAGGTGGCTCACATTGGTATCTCTGATTGCGGCATCAATTGGGTTAAAATAGCAGAATAAGAGTTGGAAGGGAACTTGGAGCTCAAGGGCGCGAGTCCTTATACCGTTCTGGACAAATTCTTCCACGATCAACAGAACTGCAGCAAACACCGTTTAACCGAATGTTTTTAACGATGTTTCTCTCTTTCAAATCATTTTTCATACCTCTTGGTAGGAAGTCCGCAGAGCGATGGTCATTTCTTCCACGTCGGTATTCCTCGTGTCTGCCTGGAGTTGGCTTTGGGGGAAACAAGACAGAGAAGGAAGACTGGTACAATCCAAAGAGACAGAGGTTAAAACGCCCCTAAAGATTTCTGAGGTATACAGATGGATCGCTATCAATGTTAAGCGATGACCAGAGATTCTACTCTCAGATCCTTATGGATGGGAGACGGGTATAAGTCAAAATAAATACATGAAGGGAACACATTGCTTATTTTCCTATTCTGCCCTCCCAGCCTGTGTTCGGTTTTCACGAGCGCAAGGAGAAACCCGTGGCCAGGTGGTTGTTGGAAAACTTGGGTCTTCTGCAAGAAGGAAGAGGCAAGGGGAAGAAAGTATTTGACGGCTTCCCCGTACTTAATGGTGTTGTCTTTCTCCTTGCACTGCTGTTCTAGCCTGAGAATCTTCTGCTTCAAACCGTTTATCATCTATTCCAAGAGGGGGAAAAGAAAAGAAGAGGTTGCCTCTTTATTTTATGTTCCTGGTTCTGGAAAGCTATAAATGCAGAACAGAAAAGCGGGGCGGGGAGAAGAGGACGGAAAAGGTGCATTTACCAAGCTGTTCTCATTTTTCTGTTCTGTCCGCACCCAGCTAAATTCAGAATACTGAAAAAGAAAAACACGAAACACTTGAGCGTCCCTCGTTAAGTGAACTGGAGAACGGTCAGTAGTATATTTTTTTTTAAAATTATTTATACCTCTTTCTTTAACATATATTAAGTATTTAACAGACCGTGTATCGTGTCTCCACCGTGGAGAGAGAACGTGCGTCGCTTGGCTTTGCGGTTGGCTGAGTCCGGGCTAGCCCAGGGGTCCAGGCTCAGCCCCAGAAAGGCCAAAGCGACAGGCGTCCCCGCTCGGTCAGAAGACGAAAGGGCTGTGGGGGCCCCTCGGAGTAGGGAACCCTCCGCTTACTTTGAAGGGCTCCAAAAGGTGCTCAATTTGCTTGTCCTTCCGCGTGTTGTCTTCTTCCACCCGCCGAAGTTTGGTTTTCATCCGATCCGCTTCGCACTTCTGGGCTTGGATTGTCTACCGCGGAAAAGGGGGCGGGGGAGGAAAGAAACCTTTCAGGATCTTTGAGCAAAGGGATGGTAAACAGAAACAAGAGGACGGGAGCAGAGGTGGCTTCCAAAATGTTAGCAAAGTGACCCCGGACTCCGGAGGCTTTCCTTGAGCCCCTGGGAGGGAGAAAATTGCCTCCCCAGACTCCGGAGGCTCTAAGGAAGCCAGAAACGGCCCTGTTTTTGCCCTTCCTGACCTTCTGAGGCCCGTTTTTTTGACCTCTCTAAGCCTCCCTACGTGCCCTGAACTTATCTGCATCCCTCCCCCCCAACATGGGGACTCCTGGGAGGGGCGGGTGGGGCCAGACAGGAGTAGGATTTGCGGGTTCTCCAAACTGCACAGATTCTTAAGTAGAGGGTCTCCCCCGAACCCCCAGCAGCCCCCACCCCCGGATAGGAGAAAATTTATCTTGCAAGGGGTGGCATCAGAGAAATCTCATTTCCTTTTCCTTCCCAGGAATCTTGCCTAGGACATCTTTAGGTCCTCAGCAGCTGCCCTCCCACCCTGTTGCTTTTACACATTTCCCAGAAAGCAGGAAGACCAGCCTTCAGAGGGAGAAAAGAGTATGAACTACGGTGAAATTCTCCCCAAAGTATGTTCTGTTTATTCCACGGAAAAGAAGGAAATATAAACGCTCGCTCTAACCTTTTTTAGCTCGATGATCTCGTCGTACATATCCTCCTTCTCCTTATAGTCTGGAGTCCCAGGGATGTAGCCTAGAAAAGAAGGGCATGGATAAAATATTTTAACACCCTAAAAATTCTATCTGTTGCCAAGCTTTCACGCGTGTCCGTTCCTCGTCTTCTTGAAAGCTGCTGGAATCTATTCCAGAATAAAAATTCTGAGATTAGTGTTGGCGCTGAGGTGGAGAATATCACCCAGAAGCCTGAATGCAACTCAGATGTGAGGTTTGTGATCTATTCTTAGAGATGCATGTAAATTTTACTTTTTAATTTTTCTTCTTGAGAGGGAAGCAGCCCCGTGCAAGAACTGAGGACGAGAGCAACGTCACAGAGCATTTTGACAACAAGTTATCTATACTATACATCTGTCATCTCTGCTACAGCCATCTTTTTTCCAAGGAGTTCTGTGGCATTGTGCCCGTTTGGAAAAAAGGGTGTTGAAGGCAGACTGAAAAACAGGGGCTTGCTTGAGACTACTTAGCAGATGACATAGAATGATTGTCTCTCTTATTTATTTATGAAATTTACACTGCCTAGAGCAGGGATCTCCAACCTGGTCAAGTTTAAGACCTGTGGACTTCCATTCCCAGAATTCCCCAGCCAGCACTGGAGGAATTCTGGGAGTTGAAGTCCACGGGTTTTAAAGTCGACCAGGTTGGAGACCCTTGGCCTAGAGTCTACTCAATTTAAATTAACTTCCTGGCAGTTTATGTGTCCCTTGTTGACTATTATTTCCTGTGGGTTGAAGAAGCAAAAAAACAACACCTTCAGTGTTTCACAGAAGCAGGATGTTTACGAATGAGGGTAGAGGTTCGTTCTTTGAGCTTTAGGATTTCCCCTAAATTCCACTGAAGATGTTACCCAGCCTGATAACCAAATGTTCAAAAAAACAACCCAGAACCTCCGAGAAAGAAGCTCTGCCCTCATCCTCCACCCAAGCCACTGTTGTGGTTAGCCAGCAGCAGGTGCAGATGGTTGAGGAGAGCGAGGACTCAGATGAGGGGCCAGGACCATTAGGGAGTGGACTGCTGCCTTCAGAGATTGTGGGGGTTGGCAGCAGCAATGAGGAGGTTCCCGAGGAGCCTGTGCCAAGTACGTGTGCATGCAGGATTGCTCGGAGGAAAGAGCAGCTGCAACAGCACGGGCGAATCAGGAGTAAGGCTGCAAGGTAATGGCCTCTCCTTCAAGAAGATAAAAGCCAGGTTTGAAGAAGCGTTCTTTGCAGAAGGCAAAGATGCTATGAAACTCAGCCTCATGGACATTATAGTTAGTATTTGAAAACTCTTGTAAACTATTTCTTATCTGTGAGGTTTTGGTAGCCTTGAAGAACAAGGTTCTTTCTTGTCGGAGCTAATTAGTTGGAAGCAGGCTTTTATCTGTGAAGAAACAGAAGTTGTGGATTAAACCTTAAAAGGTGGGTGTTGCTGCCTTTGTTTTGTGTTTGCTCTCTTGAAACCCGGTTGGGTCAGAACAGCCAGAGATTATTTGCCACCATGTTTACAAATCTTCGTTTCCAAGTTTTAACTTCCCAAAGTATGTGCCCAGCCTGCCTCGCCTTCGAGAGGCAAAGTTCCGTGCCTCCAAACTCACCACGGCTGGCAGAGCGAGCGTGTTTTGGTTTCTTCATCCCCAAAGCTTCCTTGAGATACTCAGGTGTGCTGCCGGCAAGAGGGGAGAAAGCAGTTCTGATGCCAATGTCGGACTTGGAGTGGCTCATCCAGGTACCTAGTGAAGAGGGGAATGGGGCTGTCAGCTGTCAGCTCAACGCTTGCTTGCATTCCGGGGCTATTCGCTGACAGATTGCCATGAACTGGGGGTGTGGGGGGAGGCAAACAAGGAGGAAAACGAAAGTAAGCACTGTCATCTCTATGCTGGGTGACCTTGAAGATGCGGCTTCAAGGTCACCCAGCATATCAGCTGCATACCATCCTGCAAGCTTGAACCGACTGTCACGAAAACATCCTGCCTGAACCTGACTGATTGCCTAGGGGTGGGCAACAGGAGGGAACCAAGGGAGGGGAAAAAATTGAACCTAGGGATTTTGGCCTCCGATCCTCAGTTCTGGCTATGCTTGCTCGCAATATACTTTTGTGCCTTCCTTCGCAATATAATTGCGGGTGAGTGGTGGCAGGTCTGACAGAGGCGCCAAGAAAAATAACAATAGCAACAGCACTTAGACTTTTACTACAGTCCTCTCTAAGAGGTTTGCAGAGTCAGCCTATGGCAGGGTCTCCCACCTTGTCAACTTTAAAGCTGGCTGAGGAATTCTGGGAGTTGAAGTCCACAAGTCTTAAAGTTGCCAAGTTTGGGGACCCCTGATCCAGAAAAATGCACCCCCTTTGTGTGCAAATTCAGCTCCTGGCTACACGTTGACCAGACCATTTAATCTGGATTTTAAGCCCAGTTCTACTGGGCTCTGGAATGCTCTGTTAAAGGAAGAGCCAAGATTTCACACCTTGCTTCAGAGACCCACGCCAATACTGCCTTGAGGCTTTCACTAAGGGGCTCTCAAAGCGTTTACTCTCTGCGCTTTTAAACGTCCGCAGAAATCCAGTCCGTTTAGAATGGAGGCAGGTGTGAGAGGTGTACGGAGACCCTGCAGGAAGGACAAAAGAAAAAAAGAAAAAACAAGATGAAACATTTTAAAAAGCAAGCAAGATACTAACATTTCATTTTGTTATGAGGTGAGCGGGCTCTTTAGGATCTCGTAAAAAAGCAAAAAATAATTCATAATCGTGTGCATGCAGGTACAGAAAGCGCTGCATAACTCGTAGCCGAGTGGGCCTTTCGTAATCAGGTAGCAAAAAGGTGACATGTTTTAAAAGAACTGGGTAAGTTTTTGGAAGAAAAGATTGTACTTAAGCTAGCAGCGAGTTCTCTCTCTCAATCCCTTTCCATAAAAAGGGGAACTTGTACCATGAAAACTCGCCAATTTTTATTAAGTTCTCTCAAAGGAAAGGACACCAGGTGAAACCAACGCGGTGTGACACTTACTTGATTTTGCAGGCCTGCGAGACATTTTTTTCTTTAGTGTCTGTAAAACAAAAAAGACTTTGTGTTGTAATTTGTTAGCAGGGCATCTTCCTTAGTGAATTCCCTATTGGTGTTCCATTTTCTGAGCAGAATTCTCTTGCAATTACAGATTTATTGGAATCCGATGGCTACGAGAGCACCCTGTGTTTTAAAGTCACATCGATTCCAAAGTGTTTTAAAAGGTAGAAAATGCTCAGGAGAGTTTAGAATCTGAAAACAAACAGACGTAGACCAGATTACTGTGGTTTGATTAACAAATTATTTTTTAGTGTGACATCTGAATCCATTCCGGATCAACTTATAGAACATGAGAGAATGGAATGATATCTAACCCAACTTACTGTTTCTGTATCAGAATCATAGGTCAGAGCAAGAGAATTATCTTCTGCCTGTAAAAGACATAATTATTAAAAAATTCCATCCTGAAGCGTGGTATCAAAATAACTTCATGAGGTTGGCATTCACTGAGATGGAGCAGGGGTCCATCAGTAGAGTCAATTCTGACTGTCAGCTGCTTCTCTGAGGCTTTTTTACCTTCTTATCCTAGTACCGTTAGCCTGAGCTGGCTGGAACATGGCCAATCCGAATTTCTCAGAAAGCTTAGAAAAATAATAATTGTTCATCCACCATCAGCCAACTGTGATGGCTGGCCAGCTCAAGAGACCAGTGACAGAATCCAGGTTACTGTCTGGAACAACCACCTATAAAACATCTAATGTATGGGGGTCCTTGGTACTCTCTAAGATTGGTGGTTTTGTCACAGATGTTTCATTACCAACTACGTAACATCATAAGTACTAGTAAGGAATGGGGTTTGCTCTCTGTTTATATACTAGTGACTTGATCTGTCAAGTGTTGGTGGGAGCGTTCCTTGGTTGGGCTACTTGATTGTTGGACTACTTGGCTATTGGTCTAGTATTTAGATAGAAGGATGGATGGATGGATGGATATAAAGATATAGATAGATGATATAGATGACAAAGAGATAGATGATACTGTAGAAAATGATAGATAAGATAAAGGTATAAGACACAAAGATGGATGGATGGATGGATGGATAGATAAGACAGATATAAAAATATATTATCTATAGATGATATAGTTAATAGAGATAGATGATGCTATAGAAAATGATAGATAACATAAAGGTATAAGACAGACATAGATAGATAGATGGATGGATGGATGGATGGATGGATGGATAGATAGATAGGGCAACTCAGTGGTGAACTGTGGGTGCTGTCCTTGGTGCTGATATCTGACCTTGATTGTTTTCTTGCAAACATTTCTTTACCCAACTAGGTAGTATCATCAACGCTGGGAAGGAGTGGGCTTTATAGAGTTGAGGAGGGAGAGGACGAGAAGAACAAAGACTGCAGGATCTTTGTTCCTTTCTGATCTGGGTCCTTTTCTCACAGACGTTCCACGACCCAACCAGGTAACATCATCCGTTCTGCTGAGGTTTGCTCTGTTTTATATAAAACCACTTGTACTAATAAAACAGAGAGCGAACCCCTCTCCTGGCCTCCCCTGCCAGTGTGGGCAGAAGGGGGCGTCCTTGGGAGATGCCTCCCCCACCCAGCAGCCCAGAATGCAGTGCAGCATGGGACTCCCGATACGAAGCCTCGGGAGAAGCGGACGAGGAAGGGGGGCCGTTTCTGCAGCGGATTTCCAACCCCGCTTTCCTTGAGACCCCGAGTCCGGGTGGGGGGGCAGACCCGGATCTTCAGGACCCCGCCTGGGCAGCCCCGTAACGTGGGAATGGGCACAGTTCACGTCTCCTCGCAGCCCCCCACCCCGTCCTCCCCTACCCCACCCCGGGCTTTGCAGGGGGGAGGGAGACCTTCCCCAATAACGCTTCGTATCCCCCTCCCAGCCCTTCCCTGCAAGCCGCCCCCACCCACCCACCCTCTGGCTGGGTGGGTGGGGATGATGGGACCTGTAGTACCCCTCCCCTCCGGCCCTCACCGACTCCCGCTCCTCCGCGGCCTCGCTGGGGCTCCGCGACATGCCGGCGACGCGACGAGACTCTACAGGCGGAGAAGCCCACCCACCACAATCGCCCCCGCCGCGCTGGGCCCGCCTCCGAACTTCCGGCCGGGCTCCATGGCAACCGCCCCGGCAACCACCGGCAGGGGACCCGGATGGACGCGGGAGCGGCCGCGCCTGCGCAGAGGCGCTGTCTTCCTTTCGCCAGGGAAGAAGGCCGCAGCCTCTCGGCCCAACCCGGCGTACCACCCTAGAAGCCCCGCGCCCAATCCTCCGGGACTGTCGGCTGTGGACGATGGGGAGATCAGAGCTCAACGTGTCTAAAAGGCTCCCCGGCGGGAGGAGAAGCCAAATCTTTGCGCCTTCGGGGTGTAGAGAGAGCATCCCTCGCCCTTCTGCGCATGCCCGGACCAGGAGGGCGGGAACGAGGCCGCGCCTGCGCAGAGAAGACGAGCCCCCTGTAGTTCGCAAGCACGGGATTTGCACCGGGAAGGTTACGTTGCTCTGGTCGCTTGCAAGCGGAGTCTGCTCGGGATTGCATCCGCGGCCGCCGGGCTGCTGCCGGGAGGCTGTCTCCCCTGCCTCTCTTTGGAAATCCCCATAGGGACCCTATATTGGGGCTGGGCTCGTCTCTTCCTGCCCCTTGCCCAGCCACGCTGCTTGCATTGGGACCAGCCGATTCAATTCCCCGGTAGAGAAAGACGGGATGGCATTCAGATGACCGCGGCAGACGCGTGTCTGCACTAAACAAGGGGCGTCAACGGAGCTTGCAGTGGGAGCTTTAGTTTCAAAAAGTTTTAAAATGTTTCCCACCCGGGCAGTAAGGAGCCTCTCTTATCAATTGTGAATATATAGCTTTGTTTTCTGGGGCTTCGCTTCCTTTTTTATTTTTTGCAAGAACACCCCCGCGAGGCTTCTTGCTCCCCATGGATGCAAAATGTTCCCAGCTTTTGCCTTCCGTTTGCACCATCCTGGCCGATCCCGGGCACCCCGTGGCGGATGATACTTGTCTGGAAAAACTTCTGGACTGGTTCAAGGCTCTGGCCAGCGCTGGTGAGTTGGCACTTGGTTTTGCATTTTGGGGAAGGCTTTCTTTCTTTCTTTTTTTGTGAGGGCTCAGGTAGGAAAATAACGGGGCACGGGGTGGTGGTAGTGCTGCCATAAGATACCTTAAGGAGTGGCTGGGCGGGGGAGGACGCAGTCAGCGATGCTGTGCATGCGCGCAATGTTGTGCATGCACGATAAGGACTTACTGGATGGAGAGGGACGGGGCCAGCCAGGGGCACGATTTGCCGGTTCTCTGAACTGCACAGAATCGTAACAACCGGTTCTATAGAACCAATCCAAACCGAATCCCACCCCTGCTTCGGTGTTAAGTGAAACGTGGTGGTTAAAATGAGTCCATTTTATAGCCCATGGGTGTTTTCTGCCGGAGACTGGAAGCAGACACCATTTTCTGGCGAAATAATGCCAAAAATGGTGGTCAAAGAAGGGCTGTGGGACCCCTGAAACCGCCGTAAATGCAAGCTGGTTACCAAGCTGTTCTTGGTCTGGTCATAAATTTAGGACTTCCTGTATTTTTTTTCTCTCCTTCCCCTTCTAGGGCCTAGTGTGCTGGTGTTAAAAGAGAACCCGTGTCTGATCGAGTTGATCCTGGCGGTGCTCAAACAAGGGGAACCGGATCCCATCCTTCTGTCTTTCATCCTGAGGCTCACGGGAATCTTTGCCGCTTCCGAAAGCAGCTTCCAGTATTTGCAGGTTAGTCCGTCAGAGCCGCAGGAATCGATTCGAAGGTCGGCGTATTGACTGAAAAAATATCATACCATTCTCTCCTTTCTTCTGCATTATTTTAAAAAATCTAGATTTACTTTAATGGGGTGGGGTGGGGGGTTTGAATGTTTACAGTAGAGCCCGGATGGATGGGTCAGGATTCCTAAGCCATTGTTTTTGTAGTTCCACAGCTGTGAAGCCTCCTTCAGAGCAGCAAGAGGCTGATCTGGCAATGCAACTGGCTTGCTTGCTTTCCTCTTTCCTCCCTCCCTCTTCCCTTCCTTCCTTTCCCTTCCCTTTCCCTCTTCCTTCCTTGCTTGCTTGCTTTCTTTCTTCTTTCCTCCCTCCCTCTTCCCTTCCTTTCCCTTCCTTTTCCCTCTTCCTTCCCCTCTTCTTTCCTTCCTTGCTTGCTTGCTTTCCTCTTTCCTTCCCCTCTTCCTTCCCTTCCCCCCTTCCTTTCATTTCCTTTCCCTTCCCTTTCCCTCTTCCTTCCCCTCTTCCTTCCTTCCTTGCTTGCTTGCTTTCTTCTTTCCTCCCTCCCTCCCTCTTTCCTTCCCCTCTTCCTTTCATTTCCTTTCCCTTCCCTTTCCCTCATCCTTCCCTTCTCCCTTTCCTTTCCTTTCCCCTTTCCTTTCCTTTCCTTTCCTTTCCTTTCCTTTCCTTTCCTTTCCTTTCCTTTCCTTTCCTTTCCTTTCCTTTCTTTTCCCTTCCCTTCCCTTCCCTTCCCTTCCCTTCCCTTCATCCTTCCCTTTCCCTCATCCTTCCCTTTTCCTTTCCTTTCCTTTCCCTTCCCCTCATCTTTCCCTTCTCCTTTTCCTTTCCTTTCCTTTCCTTTCCCTTCCTTTCCCAAATTATTAAGATGTCTACTGTTACCCAGTGTCCTCCCCAATGACCCCTGCAAAATCCAGGCGTTGCCCCCCCCCCAGGAACAAAATTTAGAATTTCGTTTAAAATGTAGATAAATTTAACCCAGGAGGAAAACCGTAAAGCGACAGTAAACCAGGGAAGCCTGGCGATTCCAGACAGAAGCCGCCCCCTTGATTTCCTTCTCTTTCCTTTCTCTCGAGTCAGCAGCAGGAGGTGGTGTTTGGAGCCTTCGGAGAGGCAGGTCCCCTGGGCAGCCCCCTCTGGGAAGACATGACCATTCGGAGCGGCTGGGTGCAAGGGGCCTACACCATGCTGCGACATTACAGCGCCTTCCAGTTCCTCTGCAACTCTGGCAAGTGCTTTGCCTCCCCTCCTGAGTTCAGGTTGGACAGACTTTGGCCCAGAGGCCTCCAAACTTGGGAACTTTTAAGACAAATGGATTTCAATTCCCAGAATTGCTGGCTGGAGAATTCTGGGAGTTGAAGTCCACAAGTCTTAAAGTTGCCAAGTTTTGCGGGGAGGCCTGCTTTGGCCCATACGGGCGGTCCTCAGTTTACGGCTGTAATTGAATCCAGAATTAACAGTCGTAAGCCTTGCCTCTCCTTAAGCATAGGCCTCGGCCCGATTTTACAACGTTTATGCTTTACAGCAGTCTGTGACTTCCTAACCGTTGCTAAGCAACCAGTCACTGAAGGCAAGGACTACCTTTGCATCAATTTCTGCTCCTGTAAGTGACAGGTTGGAGGCTGCCTACGACAAAGAATTGGGGCCTGAGAGTTTTCTATGTATTAACGAAAATGGATTGTCCATGGTTAACAAGTCTCATGTCGGACATGTTATTTTTTGTCCCATGCAACAACGATGATGCCGCGGAATCAAAGGATTAAAAAAGAAAAGAAATATTGTTTGCCATTTAGCCAAAGTCCTAATCATTGCAATGTTGTTTTCACTCCTGAATCCAGACATCTTGCTTATGTTCATGATTAACAGGAAGACTAATAAGAGTTGAAAGGGACCTTGTAGGTCATCTAGTCCAACTCCCGCCCAAGCATTTCTGACAGATGGCAGTCCAGCCTCTTCTTGAAAGCCTCCAGGGATGAATATCCTACAACTTCCGAGGGCAACTTCTGTTCCATGGGTTGAGTGTTCTCACTGTCAGAAAGTTTCTCCTTATTTCCGGGTTGAATCTCTCCTTGATCAGTTTCCATCCATTATTTCTCGTCTGGCCTTCAAAGGTGCTTTGGAAAATAGCTTGACCCCTTCCTCTTCTCTGTGGCAGCCCCTCAAATATTGGAAGGCTGCTATCCTGTCTCCCCTCGTCCTTCTCTTCCCTAGACTAGCCTGGCCCAGTTCCTGCAACCGTTCATTGTATGTTTTAGCTTCCAGTCCCCTCATCATTTTTGTTGCACTCTTTCTAGAGTCTCAACATCTTTTTTATAGTGTGGTGACCAAAACTGGATGCAGGACTCTAGGTGTGGCCTTACTAAGGCTTTATAGAGTAGTGTTAGTACCGCACTTGATCTTGATTGTATCCCTCTGTTAATCCCCAAGAGAGTTTTCTTAAGAAATGGCTGCTTTCTCCTGAAATTTTCAACGTCGCTTATCGCTGCTCCACAGGAGCTCTAGATATGATCTTCACTCTTCAAGAAGACCCCAGCCTCTTCATCGCTGCAGCAGCCAACCGGCTTCTTGCCCGCCTGCTCATTTTCTCTGTAGAGTCCGAGCCGTCTCGTCTTCTCAGCTCAAAGGACTGCGATTGGCCGGCCTGTGCTCGGATGATGGTCGCCCGTGTTGAGGAGGCTCTCACGTCCCGCTCTTCGTCCCGGATCAAGCATTCCCTGAAGCTCTTAATGACGCTATTTGAACACAGCCAGGATGCCTGGACCGAAATCTTGTGGTCACGCCTAGCAGAAACGGTGGAAGCCCTCCTGATGGAAGATTCTGTCCATGTAGGACCCTGGTTTGTTGATTTGTTCCTTAGCATGGCGAGGTAAGAGAGGGTCCATCAGTTACTCTTTTAAGGGCCCTGAATTGGTTAAGATGGTGGGACAGGGCTTGTATGTAGGGTTCTTGCATTGTTCTTGTCATGCCCCTGATTTGAAGAGGGAGGCCGAACAGCTGACAGGGAGTGGGAGTGTGGCTCTGTTGGCTTTGGAGGAAACTGGGGAAGGGCATAGTCCGGCTGGGCAGAGCAGGAAGAGGAAGAACAAGGGAGAGGGAGTTCAGAGGGAAGACCCAGGCCCACCTCCTCTTCATCCTAGGGCACACAGGGAGGAACGGAGAAAAGAGCAACGTGGTTGCATGGCTTACGGGGGAGGAAAGGGCCCTGATTCCCTTCATTGGCTGCAGCTGGGAACAGAGTGTTTAAAAAAGGGAAACCGCGCACAGCAAGTTGTTGGGAGCAAGTCGTGAATTTATCTGGTATTGTCGTGGCTTATCTGTGTTCCTGGCGTCTTCCCAACTGTGTGAATTTTGCCACGCTTTCAAGTCTGCAATTCCTTCTCCTGCCCTGCCAAAGCAAAAAAAAAATGGGGCATGTAGGGAAACATTTGAGCACTTCGTTGCATTTGAGGGAGATGAAGTGGGTGCTTTAAGTCTGCCAGTTGCTTAAACAGCCAGCTCTTTAACGGGTCGCTCTTCCTCCAATAGGTCTCCTGCATTTAGCTCTCATGAATGCAGCCTTTGGAAGCTGGTGGCCCTTGCCCTGAAGAATATCAGCCTGGCTCATGTCGGCCCTCTAGCACATGGACTTTTGAAGCTGGAGGCATGGTAGGAACGGATGCCGTGAACTAATGCAGTTGGGAACTTTAAGAGATATGGACTTCAACTCCCAGAATTCCCAGAGTAGTAATATTCAGTGAGCCTCATTGAGGGGCTGGCTAAGTATTTTGCTTGTTTAGCTGCAGATTCCAATTCCACTTTTCTTCCAGTGTCACACTTAAGCCCTTTTTTAAGCATGATAAAAGTCTGGGGGGAGGGGGTGGAAACTGGGTTTGACAAACAAGCGTTCAATAAGGCGAGCCTAGACAATCGTGGCTTATTGCAAAAACGTGGCTTAGAGTGATATATGAACTCAGGTCATAAAAACCAGAGGCCCTTTCTGCACTTGACTCTTCCATTTTCTCCATTGTGAAGTTTTTAACGTCTTTTTCATGGTTCTAAAAACGGTGGCATTTTGTAGAAGGCAACAAATTAAAACCAAAGTAACTCCTATAATTTGAAGCACGGTGGTGTGTGAAGGCATGTTGTGTGGTTTGATGTTGAAGGGGTTTTGATTTGCGAAACAAACTTCTGACACACGTAAAACCAAGGGAAAGCCCTCATCTCGTGCCCGCAAAGCAATCTTGACCTATGGAACAATTACAATTACCAGCGTCAACGTATAGCAATACCACAGACAGTAGAATATTGTTAACTTGCCTGCTTGTATTTATTATTAATTGCATTTACTACAATTCATCATTAAGGAGAACCATATGGATTGTTAAATTTGATTTGAGTTTTGTAAAAAGAAAAAAAAAAGTACAATAGAAATATTCAAAACAAAACAAAGTAATTCATATAATTCAATTTAAAGTTTTGTTTTTACACATCTCTTCACGTGAGCAACGTGATTCCAGATTACAATATTTATATACATCGTCATAGTTACACTTTCAACTTTCTTAATGTCACTTCAAATCATTAGTAATTTATATCATTGGAAGCACGGCGTGTGTAGGTAGGCATGTTGTGTGGTTGGATGTTGAAGGGTTCAGATTTGCAAAGCAAACTTTCGACACATGTGAAACCAAGGGAAAGCGCCCACCTCGTCCCCGCAAAGCGACCGTTTCCTCTTCTTCCAGCCCGCAGGCCCTCCAAGCCCAGAGCCTGGCTGTTTTGCTCCAGCCGATGGATGGCATCTTGCGAGCCACTTCGCCTCACGCAGCCTCCCCAAGTGAGTGGTACAACACAGTCTTATTAACGCCCGTATCCATTAGACCGGAGTTCCCCCATGATTCTGGCTTTGCGGACCGATGGGGAGAAGGGGACGGTTTCAGACAAGCGGCCGGCAAGCGTGTGTGTGTGTGTGTGTGTGTGTGTGCAGCTCCCTTTGTGGGAGTGGCGTGCGTGCGTGCCTGCCACTCCCTTAAATCGAGCAAGCACTTGCCCGTTGCTCGCGCATGTGAGGATGTGTGTCTGAACGTCGGCTGGCTGATTTCCGCAGCCCGGTTGCAAATATTCTCCTGCCGCGCTCGTGGGGCGCAGCCAGGGGCGGGATTCAGCCCATTCAGACCGGTTGGCACGGACCGGACGTTACATTTTCATCCGGTCCATCGAACTGGTAGTTGAACCGACCGGCTGGCCCTCTCCCAGGATTCTCCACGTGGTCCGTTTCAGATGCGGGTAGGTTCAGGGTCCGCGTGGAGGCTCTGGGAGTGGGAGAAATGGGCCGAACCAGAAGTTCTGGAAGTCCAAAAACAGCCCTCCTGGAAGTTCCGGTAAGCTACGCCCACCCAGCGACCAGGTAGAGAAACGGTTGTTGGGATTTTTGAATCTCACCCCTGGTCACAGCCCACAGGTGGACGGAGGGGGGACCCCCCTGCATTAGGCCAAATGGGCAGGTAGAGATAAGGGGCCCTTGGATTATCCGGAACCTGGGTTAGAACAGCCCTGGTGCGATGAACGCGTGGGAATTCTCCAGTTTGCAGGTCCGAAATGCCTTCTTGTCTGAAAAGGATCATTTCCCTCCTTTGCTTGCAGATGCTTCCTCTGCAGAGACTCGACTCTTCTCTACCGGTCTCCTGTGTCAGACGATGGCTCACCTCAAGGAGATCCAGGAGTTGGTATGAAAAAGAGCGGGCTTTCTTGACGCCCCTGTGAAGGTTGTCCATCGTCCAGGTCACGGTGGCTTCAAGAATGCTTTTTTCGAAAGGCAGCTGGGCAGCTCCTCTGAATTTTTTTTGGCCTGGAAAACGTTTCACAGGTTCTCATCCAAGAAGCTTCTTCCGTGTCTCCGTAACACGGAGAAAAAATAGGCTTGTGGGTGCTTCTATCCCAGGGCAGTAGCTATATGGAATTCTACTGAATAGCGCCGTATTTGTGCAATATCAGGTTTTCAATTCAATTGCATAGAAAGTGAAGGATGCATGTTTGTGTTTTATTTTTATAGTTATAACGTACACTGAAGATGGCATTTAATTTCGTTGTACGAGGTGAAATGACAATAAAGTAAACTGAGCTGAGCTAAACTAAACTAAACTAAAAACTAAACTAAACTAAACTATTCTGCAAGTTCAGAGTTTCCCAAGAGACTCCCTCATCCTTTTCCAGATTTGAAACCTGGAAATTTCTAAGCGTGCTGGCTGGGGAATTCTAGGATTTGAAGTCCGTAAATGGTTTGCTCTCTGGAATTCTGGGAATTGAAGTCCACAGAGCTTAAAAGTTGCCACGGTTGAGAACCCCTGCTCTGCAAAATTAGAGCTCTGATTAAACTAGGTTCTGATTCAACCCCTATCTGTTGCTTCCCCAGTCCTGCTTCCCAGTAGAGTTTCCGCATCAGCCTTTGATATGCTCCGTGGTGACCATACTACAGTTTTGCGCTGGCCAGGCTGTGTCGTCCTCCTCCTTTGGAGCTACACTAGGCCACCTCTTGATTGGCAGCTTTCGAGTCCAGAGGGCAGCGCTCAGCCTCCTGGGAGCCCTCTCACGATGGGCTGGTAAGTGAGGCTTGTGGTCTGTGTTGGATACCCAATTCCAGAAAGATTGCAGCCGTGCCAGAAATTCTGTCCATAAGTGTTTCTCACTTGCCCTTTTCAGGATTCTTTGCCGTTTTAACTGTCAAGATTAGAAGTTTCATAAACCAGGGCTGGAAAAGTGGCTTTATTATCCCACTTTTCATTGTAGGTCCTGCCAAATATTTCAATTCGTTGTAGCATTGACTTAAAGGGGCAGGATTATAAATAACGGAGCAACACTTGATTGTTCGGATGGCTTCCGAGCTTCTATGGAAATTGTCGTATTTTGTCTGTACGGTGTAGTTCAATAAATTAACCCGTGGAACAACTTGCCTCCAGAAGTGGAAAATGCTCCAACGCTGGAAGTTTTTAAGAAGAGATTGGACAACCTTTTGTCTGAAGTGGTGGAGGGTTTCCTGCCTAGGCAGGGGGTTGGGCTAGAAGACCTCCCAGGGTCCCTTCTGTTTATGCTGTTCTAACAATAGAGCACTTTGCAAAACAAAACAAAAATCCCATTCTGCCATGCAATCCAGCACCAACAAATAACCGATAGGAATAAAAAGCAGAAGAGTTTCTCTCGCTCCCCAAAACCGACTCATTGGGGGCAAATTGAACACGAGTCTTTTTGTCGGGCCCATGTTAGTTCGCTATCCTTCCTGCAGAGCAACTTTTGAAATTTTAAACTCCCAAGAAGTAGCCTTGGGGATGAAATCCGGGCTGAATTGGAAGTGTAAAGGAGACCCCCGTGATTAAAACGTTCGTTCTCTAAATTTAGCCTCTGTCCAGGACGAAGAAAGGCTGCAAGTGTTTGACGTCTTCCTGACGTACTTACGGAGTCCAGACAGCAGTCCTGTGGTGAGTGCAGAATTGTACCAAGAATTGCTTTGTCTTCTGCAAGGAAGTCTCTCGTTTACTAAGATTGTTGCTTAGAGGGGGGATGTCTGTCATTTGGACCAGAAGTGGGCATAAAAGCTGGACAGATCTATCAACTCTGCTGGGAGACCAGCAGCTGCTGGGTTCTGCCCTAGCTCCCCAAACACGACCAACCCTGTGACGTGAACTCAGACGATTCCCTTTTTTAGGAGCGCCGGCATTCCTGGCAAAACGTTTCTCTCTCAATGCAGGCTAATAAATCCATCTGGCCGGGAGATGAATACCTGTCTGCCACACCTACTCCTCTCCTCCCTCTGCCTTTTCACCCCCTGAGCTAGGGTGGGGCTTCGCTGGCGGTGTTGGCTCTTCCGGCCCAAGGACCGGTCCATAGATTTCCACTTCTCTCCTCTGCTTTCGGCACATCTGTACGTCAGGCACTGGGCCCAGCTGTTCTTCCTCTTCCACATTAGCCACCTCCAGACCTGAAGGCTGTTGACTCTCCAGCTAAGGGCTGACGGATGGCCCAGACTCAGTCTCTCTCTCTCTCTCAGTTCCATTCCCCCTTGGAGCTCCCGTCCCGAGGGCCGGCCCTTAGATTTCCACTGCTCTCCTCTCCTCTGCCTTCTGCGCCAGGCACTAGACCCAGCTGTTCCTCCTCTTCCTCATCAGCCATCTCCAGACCTGAAGGCTGTTGACTCTCCAGCTAAGGGCTGATGAACGGCCCAGGCTCCATCTCTGTCTCTGTTTCTGTCTCTCTCTCTCTCTCTCTCTCAGTTCCATTCCCCCTTGGAGCTCCCGTCCCGAGGGCCGGCCCTTAGATTTCCACTGCTCTCCTCTCCTCTGCCTTCTGCGCCAGGCACTAGACCCAGCTGTTCCTCCTCTTCCTCATCAGCCATCTCCAGACCTGAAGGCTGTTGACTCTCCAGCTAAGGGCTGATGAACGGCCCAGGCTCCATCTCTGTCTCTGTTTCTGTCTCTCTCTCTCTCTCTCTCTCAGTTCCATTCCCCCTTGGAGCTCCCGTCCCGAGGGCTGGCCCCTAGATTTCCACTGCTCTCCTCTCCTCTCTACCTTCTGCACCAGGCACTGGGCCCAGCTGTTCCTCCTCTTCCTCATCAGCCACTTCCAGACCTGGGGGCTGTTGGCTCACCATCTAAGGGCTGACAGACGGCCTAAGCTCTGGCTCTGTCTCTCTGCCGGCTCCATTCCCTCCTCCCCCTCGCAGCTCTCAGGTTGCCTTGATCCTGACCCCTGACTCCCACGCCGCCGCTGCCTCCTCTGATTCAGCTGCTGGAGAGGCCGGCGGCCGACAGGCCACAACATGCTGGAGTTAGTTATACCCTGCCTTTCCTATTTTTACAAATAACTCAAGGCTGCGGCCATACCCGTTGCAATAATATTTATTATTCTGCTTCCTTCCAGATTTTTAAGAAAGCCCTTCAAGGAACCCTAAAGTGGCTTCGGAGTGCCTTGCGACCTTCCGTCTCCCTTGCCGATGTCCAGCAACGCCAAAAGTTTCTCAGAGGTGTAAACAGCACCTGATCTACGTTGATCTATTCTAATGGCCCAATATTGCGGTGTGGGGTTTTCCCTCGCCCCATTTCTGGTCCAGAGATTTAATTTTTTGAGCCGGAAGGCTTCAGATTTTAAAGCCGGTTGTCATTTCCTCCGTTCAACTTGCGTCGAGTCAGCCGGGGAGAAAGGATGGCCAAGTTCTCCAGTCTACAATTTTCTCTCCTTTTCTTTTGAAGATACGCTGCGGGTGTTACGGAAACATCTGTGCAGTCCAAGCTGGGAAGTACGCGATTCCTCCCTGGAGTTTCTCAGCCTGGCGATGAAGCATTTGAGAGGTAGGGGGAGCACCAAGATAGCAATGGCTCTAAAGACTTATATGCCGCTTTCCAGCGCTTTACAATTTCTCTAAAGCGGTTTACAGACCCAGCCTCTTGACCCCAGTAATCTGGGTCCTCATTTTATCCACCGCGGAAGGACGGAAGGCGGAGTCAACCTTGAGCCCGGTGAGATTCAAACTTCTGACAGCCTGAAATATTCTAATCATTGTGCCACCGTGGTGAGGGAAGGAGGAAAAAAAGGGTGGGAGAGAAAGAAAGGAGAAAAAGCAAGAGCACTTAGAGTTATATACCGTTTCACAGGGCTTTCCAGTTCCCTCTAAGCGTTTTAGAGAGTCAGCCTCTCGCCCCCAACAATTTGGATCCTCATTTTACCCACCTCGGGAGGACGGAAGGTTGAGTCAACCTTGAGCCGGTCAGGATCAAACTCCTGGCAATGGGCAGAGTCAGCAATACTGCATTCTAACCACTGTGCCACAGTGGCCCTTCCCTCTCTCCCTCCCTTTCCTTCCTTCCCTCCCTCCCTCCCTTCCCAAGCAATAGCAGACTTACATACCGCTTCACAGTGCTTTACTCTCTAAGCAGTTTACAGAGTCAGCATATTTGCCCCCAACAATCTGGGTCCTCATTTTACCCCCCTCCCCCTCGGAAGGACGGAAGGCTGAGTCAATTTCTTGAGCCTGTTGAGATTCGAACTGCCAAACTGCAGGCAGCCGGCCGTCAGCAGAAGTAGCCCTGCAGTACGGCACTCTGACCACTGCACCACCACGGCTCAGATACAGATTAACAGAGTTGGAAGGGACCGCACTAAATGGACCATTGTAAGTTCAGAACTACCTGTGTTTTAACACTGCCGTTTTGTTCCGACCCAACCAGAGCAAACACAAAGTCAGCAGCCCTCACCTTTTAAGGTTTAATAAAGAATTCTGTTCTGAAGGCTGCTTTCCACTAATTAGCTCCGACAAAAAAGAGCCTTGCCAAATTGTTTATCAAAGTTGCCAAACACCCAGAGATAAAAATTTACAAAATTCTCCAAACACAAACTAAGATGTCCACCAGTTGAGCTTCAGAGCTTCTTTGCTGTCTGCAAAGAACGCTTTTCCAAACCTGGCTTTTATCCTCTTGAGGGAGGGGCCATCACCTTGCAGCCTTACTCCTGAGTCGCCTGTGCTGCTGTAATTGTTCTTTCTTCCAAGCAATCCTTCGTGAATGTGCACTTGGCACAGGCTCCTCGGGAATCTCTTCATAGCTGCTGCTAGCCCCCACAATCTCTGATGGCAGCAGTCCACTCCTTGATGGTCCTGGCCCCTCATCTGAGTCCTCACTCTCCTCAGCCATCTGCACTTGCTGCCGGCTAACCACAACACATTTCCCTGCACAGGACTCGACTGGTTTTGGCAAGAGCTGCTCTCCTCAGAGGTGCCCAGGCTTCTGGAAGATCTCCTGGGTGATCCCGAGAGCTATGTGCGTGCCAGCGCCGTGAGGACTTGGGGCCGTTTCTCCCTCATGGCCTACTCTGGCCCAGAAGTGCCTGTTTGCAAAAGCAATGAAAACCCCAAAGAGGTACGACACTTGTTGTGATGACCCTGGGTGTAACACAAAGGCAACGCAGCCAGAGAATAAGTAGGAGTCCCTTTATTAGCTCCAACTTTGCCCCCAATGTCCCGGTTACTCTCCAGTCTGGAGAAAAAAAACTCCCACAAACCTGCAACAGCCTTTGGCTGCAGATATTCCAATCCAAATATTGTAAACAGAAAACTTTAAATTATAAATCCAACAAGGCAAAATAAGGTAATAAATCCGGCAGGGCAAGGTAAGGTGTTCAGAAGTGAAGTAACACAGTAGTAAATCCAACCAGTTGGGAGAATGCCAGGAACTCAGATAACCGTAGCCCACACAAGATAAACTCAGCAATTATTCGCAACAACCGCCCCTCCCAACTGCCTCTCCTTTAAATTCCCTCCCCAGCTGTGCCTTGTGAAGGGAATCAGGGCCCTTTCCTCCCCCGTAAGCCACACAACCCACGTTACTCCCTTCTCTGTTACTGCGTGCCTGAGGATGAAGAGGGAGGTGGGACTGGGTCTTCCTCTGAACTCCCTTCCCTTGTTCTGCCTCTCCCCTGCTCTGCCCAGCTGGACTTTGCCCTTCCCCAGATTCCTCCACAGCCAGTAGAGCCACACTCCCGCTCCCTGTCGGCTGTTCGTCTTCAGGCTCGAAGGGGGCATGTGTGCAACCTGGGGCTCCAACTCCTCTTTTCTCCACGCAGAGATGCCAAGTTTCCCTTTTGAGATTCCCTCTGTCTCCTTGTTCCCCAGCTCTGCGTCGGCGGCGTTCGCTTGCTGGAAATCTTGTCTTCAGACGCCGAAGGTTTCCCTCGCCGAGCTGCCATCGGCGTCTTCCTTGACTGGCTGAAGGAAGGACACCCCGAGGCCTCGGCAAGCCCCGCCGAGTTTGTTTCCCGAGCTCTTCAAGCCGTGGATGGAGACCTAGATTGGGAAGTCAAAATGGCCGCTCTGGACCTGGTGGGAGTTTTCATCGGCCAGACGTTCGGCCAGCTCGAGCAGAGCTCCACTTCAGCTGGTTCTTCGCTTGCCAATCTTGCCGACGTGCTGCGGCTCTTTGGCCAAATGAAAATGTTGGGCTTCCTTTTCAGGGCCCTCCAAGACTGCGACAGGCCAGTGGCGGTCAAGGCCTGCGAGGTCCTTTTGGCTCTGAAATCTTCCGTTTGCAAACACCGGTCGAAATCATCACCGTCAGGAGATGCTTCCGGGCTAAAGAAAGTTCCCACGGAGAGCTCCTCCTCTCCTCTCTCCAGCCTTCCTGCCGGGGAGGCCGCTGAAAAGGACTGCCAGGATCCCGAAAGGCTGCGCCAGATCCTAGAATTCACCAACCTGGAGGGTTTGCGAAGGGCTTTGGACGTGAGCAGCGATCACTTGGAGAGGAGCCCGCAGTCCCTCCTGCAGGACCTCCTGGCTGCGGCAGGCGACGCGGAGGAGAACCGAGTAGATTGCTATTGAAAGGAGGGGCTGGAGAGCTCGCTGGCCGGCTTGGAAAAGGGCCCGCTTTCAGAACGGAGGGACTGCGAGCGCGTTTCTTTTTTCCAGGCACCTCCTGAAAGCGGGCCTGGCAGAGCGAATTAAAACTGAAACTCGGGTACAGGGAGAATAAGCACCAAAGAAGAGCGAACGAACAAAAGGCAAAACTCACGCGGAGTGAATGCAAGGGGTAAAAATAAATAAAATAAATATCCGATATTCCTTTCGTCTCCTATTTTCCTCACAACAACAGTCTTTAACCACTAAATCCAACTCTCTCTCCCTCCTCTCTCCCTCTCTCTCCTTCCCTCCTCTCTCTCCTCTCTCTCTCCTCTCTTCCTCCCTCTCTCTCCCTCTCCCTCCTTCCTCTCCCTCCTTTTCTTTCCTCTCCCTCCTTCCTCTCCTCTCTTCCTCTCTCTCTCCCACTCCCTCCTTCCTCTCCCTCCTTCTCTCTCCTCCCTCTCCATCCTCCTCACGGCAATTCTGGCAGAGCAGATGAAGGGAAACGGCTCTTGGCTGCCTTCAGACAAAGCAAGTCGGGCCGGCATCCGTAGGATTTTGCCGGCACAGTCGGAATCAGAGGAAATTATTTCAGACATCAAACAAGTAGAACTTCTGAATGCATCTTTTGATGTACCGTTTGGAAATCTGAACGACTGTGCTGTTCACGGCTTCTGTCTTGACTTAGTGGGGAGCGGAACGCTCTTGAGTCAAGTCCGAGGTGTGTGTGGGCGAAGACTTGAGGCAGAACTTAATAGAAAAGGGGAAAAAAATTAATCCCTTAACGCCAAAGCCAGCCGAAGCCACGAATCCAAAGAATTACATTTGCTTCTGGAAGCATCGACCGGAGAATAAAAAGCTGGTTTATTAATTTTTCTATGACTCTTTAATCAAGCACATCTAAGCAGCTTGCAAAAGTTCTATTCCATCGTGTCTACTGTACAATCACACAGGTGTAGCTCAAAAATAAATTCAGTTATAAAACAGGTTTTACTTAAGGGTTTTGCACAAATAGAATAGAATAGAATAGAATAGAATAGGAACAGGAAGAGAATAGGAATAAAAGAGAATAGAATAGGGAATAGAATAGAATTAGAATAGAATAGGAATAAAGAATAGAATAGAATTAGAATTGAATAGAATAGGAATAAAGAATAGAATAGAATAGGAATAAAGAATAGAATTAGAATGGAATAGAATAGGAATAAAGAATAGAATAGAATAGGAATAAAGAATAGAATAGAATAGGAATATAGAATAGAATAGCTTTATTGTCATTGCATTCCACGACTACAATGAAATTTGAAATCCCGGGGGGGGGGGGAATTAATTCATTCCAGGGAAAGGGAACTTCAGTTCCCTCTAGCAACCCACCTCTGGATTGAGGTCAGCCAGATGTGTTAGAGGTATCTCACCCATAATCCTCAGCCAGGAGGGGAGTTGCAAACCAAAGGATGCCAACGCAAGAAAGTATCCTGAAAGCATTTCTAATGAAAGAAAAAAGACCTCACACAGACACACACATACACACACACACACTTAGAAAGAACTACTGGCATTACTTTGGATAGCCTAATACATTTGGAAGGGACCTTGGGGGTCTTCTAGTTGTCCAATCTCTTCTTAAATTCCTCCTTAGTTCCAGGTTGCTTCTCTCCTTGATGAGTTTCCATCCGTTGCTTCTTGTCCTGCCTTCAGGGGCTTTGGAGAATAGCTTGACTCCCTCTTCTTTGGGGCAGCCCCTGAGATATTGGAAGGCTGCTATCACGTCCCCCATTAAGACAATTACCCCCAAATCAGTTTTTAGCCATCCCAAACGCCTCGTTTTTAGCACCCGGGGGCTTTCGCCTGACCTGAACGTGGGGAAAGCAGCTTTTGGCAATCAACATTCTCGCCGCCCAAGACAGAAAGAGCCATTTCTTTGCAAGGAGGTGGAGGGGGTGGAAGGAGAACTATGGAAGACCTACAACCCTAATTATCTTGAGTGCTGGAGCACTGCGTTGCGTCTGCTCCCAAGCGCCCGCTACTAGGGCTTCAGAATTTAATGAGAATTGCTACACATAAGAGGAGAATGCACCAGACAGGATGACCGATTCCCCCTGGTCTCTGCAGAGAATGAAAATATTCGACATCTGCAAGAGAAAGGGTTGAAGGCAACTGCTGTTGACATCATTAAACGCCCGGTAAGGCAAGCAAATAAAAATACGAAGCATTGCACGCTGCAGTGATTCACCCCGCTTTGCAAAACAGGCACAAATTATTCCTTAAGATGGGAAGGACTGGCTAGGCACAGACTCCTCAGCTAGCTAGGTGAGAATGAGCCGAATAAGATGACATTTCTCTCTCCTACAGGTGCATGTCTCCAACTGAGAGAAGGAAGCACGCGAGCACGAATCAAATCAGAATTATTCCACAAGCTTTAAACCAAGCAGCGATGAATATGTTGTGATCAGCGGAAATAAACCGAAGCGTCCCTCTCTTCCCTTTGCAGCTACGCTAAGAGCAGAGACGAGCGAGACCAAAACCTTAAGACACAAAAATGTGCAAAATCCCTGCTTCTGAAGCGTGTTGCTGTCTTTTGTGAACGCAAAGACCTCTCCAGACCATTCAGTTGGCTTTTTCTTTCCATTACAATGCGGCTTCTCTCTGAGGCCGGAGCTGACACCCTCTGCCTCCGAAACAGAATGAAATGTGGGGCCAAATTTGAACTTGAAGTCCGCCCATTTGAACTGGCTGGGGAATTCTGGGAATTGAAATCCACGAATCATAAATGGACGGGGAATTCTGGCAGTTAAAGTCCACCCGTTTTGGTCGGCTGGGGAATTCTGGGACTTGAGGAGGTCCTCAGTCGTAAAGTTGACAACGTTGAGAAATGATGCTTTAGCATCAGAAGTGGACCTGTCCCTGTGGATTATTCCACGGGAAAACAAGGAGAACATCATTGTGGATTGGACCTGGGAAGGGAGAAGCACCGAATCCAGTTGGAAGGAGGAGAGAAATATACACCGAAATATACACCGAAAAATCAGAAGCCGGTTTAAAGCTAAGAATCACAGGCCGTCTCGACCTTTTTCCTCTCAGCTACTGAAGCCAAACCAGTTTGGAGGACGGCCCCCTCCTTAAATCAAAACAAGGAAGACCCCCCCCCCCCCCGAAGAGACTCCCCGCCTTCCAAGGGCCAGCCTTTAAAAGAGAGAGAGGGTCATTCAACCATTTCCTTGAAAAGGAGAGGGGAGGGCTTGGGAATTTGACACACACGGGCCTTTCTTTTGGAGACAGACATGATTAAGAGGGAAGAAGGAGAGCAATGAAAGGAAAGAGGCAACCCACCCCCTCATTACACCCCCTCAAAAGACAGGAGGGAGGGGGCTTGCCAAAGGTCAAGGGTGAGGCAGACCCCCATGCCCAAGAAATCTGGAAGGCGTTTCTAGAGAGTTGGATGTCTTTGGGAGGATGGAAAGCAAAGCGTGAATTATAACCACCGCTACCCCTAAACCCCCTCCCCCCCACAAAAAAGGGGACGTGGTGGCCGAGTGGCTAAGACGTTGAGCTTGCCGGTCAGAAAGGTCGGCAGTTGGTGGTTCGAATCTCCAGCGCCGCGTCACGGAGCGAGCTCCCGTTACTTCTCTCAGCTTCTGCCAATCTAGTTCGAAAGTTCGAAAGCAGGTTAAAAAAATGCAAGTAGAAAAATAGGGAGCCCCTTTGGTGGGTGGGGAACAGCGTTGCGTGCGCCTGACCGGGGTTTAGTCCTGCCGGCCACAGGACCGCGGAGACGTCTTCGGACAGCGCTTGGCTCTTCGGCTTTGTCACGGAGATGAGCGCCGGCGCCCCCTAGAGCCGGAAATGAGTAGCACGGATGTGCGAGCGGAACCTTTCCCCGTTTTTTACCCCAAAACAATCTTCCAGAGACGGATGGAAGGAGCCAATTTTAAGAACTCTGGCTCCTTCCAGGGTGAACCTGAATCTTTTTTAGGGATGGGGATCGGGAAGGGGTGAGATATGCTTTTACAAACAGTCCCCCCCTCCCTTCTCTTTCCTCCCCCCCCCCAGCAAAATGGATCCCACAAGGCCGCTTCTCTGGGGTTAGGAAAAGAGAAAGTCGTTTTAAATAGGGGTGTAAGATGGGGTCCCGTGGGAGAGAAGAGAGAGATCCAAGGGCAGGCTGGAGAACTTCCACCTACCCACCCACCTAAGCTAGGGGTCCTTCCTGGGGAAGGGCAGTTTTTTACCCTCTGTCCCCCACCCCAAACGACTCCAGGGACCAGGGAGACGATTTGGCCCCACAGGGTCCACCAGCTTCAATCAGAATAGAGCTGGAAGGGACCTTGGAGGTCTTCTAGTCCAACCCCTTCCTCAGGCAGGAAACCCTGTACCATTCCAGACAAATGGCTGCCCAATCTCTTCTTAAAAACTTGCAGTGTTGGAGCATCTACAACTTTTGGTGGCAGGTCGTTCCCCTGGTTAATTGTCCTCACCGTGAGGAAATTTCTCCTTAATTCCAGAATTTGCTTCTCTCCTTGATCAGTTTCCATCCTTCGTTTCTTGTCTGGCCTTCTGGTGCTTTGGAAAATAATTTGACCCCTTCCTCTTCTTTGGGGCAGCCCCTCCAATACTGGAAGGCTGCTATCATGTCACCCCTAGTCCTTCTCTAGCCTGGCCAAACCCCAATTCGTCCTTCCTATTGCTAAACAACTAATTCCCCCAACACTGTCCGACTATTTACAAAGGCTGTATTACTATTACTATTAATCTTCTCATCCGTCCTTATCACCCATCCCCTCCCACTTGTGACTCAAGGACTGTAACTTTGTCACTTGTATCCTTATGGTTTACATGGACTGTTTCCTAGTAGGATTTGATTGCTCATTGTTCCCTATGACTATCATTAAGTGTTGTACCTGATGATTCTTGACTCTTGACGAGTGTATCTTTTCTTTGACGTACACTGAGAGTGTACACACCAAAGACAAATTCCTTGTGTGTCCAATCACACTTGGCCAATAATGCTATTCTGTTCTGTTCTGTTCTATTCTTATTCTATTATTTAAACTGACCATGTTCTAGTATGATTTGATTGCTTATTGTACCCTATGACTATCATTGTGTTGTACGTGATGATTCTTGGCGAATGGATCTTTTTTCTTATGGACACTGAGAGCATTTGCACCAAGACAAATTCCTTGTGTGTCCAATCACACTTGGCCAGTAAA